ATGGAATATCGATATCTGAATTTACTTATTTACAGATGTTCAATATCTACATTAAAAAGGCGACTAGTATGTACGGTTTAACATTTACAAGACCAATATTTGAGCACGCTATTGAAGTTCTTCCGGAAGATCAGTCCAGGTATTACATCGTTTCCTTTTTTCATTATCGTTTTTTCTTATAACTCTTTCACTCTTCAGCTAATTTCCACTTTTGAAATTAATCTGCATTTTGTTGTTGTCTTTTAAATCATCCAGTGCTTGCCTGCAAAAAGTAAACTGAAAAGCTTTTCCAAAACAAACAAATCTAATTATTTACAAACCAATAAATCGACAAAAACATAACAATTGTCTTGATCTATCTATCGCTTTGGCAATGAGGAAAGGTTCAAAATATTTTTAAACAGCTATATTGAAAAATACGATGAATGCGAAAAGTAATTGCTCTTCCAAACAATATTATCAAAATCTGTTAAAATGCTACTTGCTCTAAAACAATTTTGAAAAGATAAACAAACCTGTATTCCAGAGCAGCCTCTTCAGCATTTTTGGCCATGATCGCAAAAATGCTGTTCCTTATGATCACAATCTGAAACACTTTGAAAAAATATCGTTCTTCGTTGACAGTACACGCAGTGGGAGGGAAAACTCGTCGCAAAAAAAAAAGTGTTCGGGATAATATGTCATCCAAAACAAAAACCCGAATTTCAATTTATCACCTGCTTTGAATTTACGTATGACGTAACCAACCCAGCTACACTCAAATTGCTCCTCCCCCCCCCCCCCTCTCCTGGATTGGAAGGTCGGTACACTACAGTGAAAAACCGAACTAGTGTACTTACACTCCAGCGTAAACCAATCAGCACAAAAAGATAACCGAAGAACTCATAAATGTCTGTTCGAATTTTAGTTTTCAAATCATCAAAGATGTCTTTTGCTAGAAATGATATTCGTCGAGTCTGACTAGAGGTTAAACTATACAATCTAATTTCCTCAGAGATGCAGTACTTGACATTTGCAAAATGTTGTGATGACGAATTAGTTCCATTCAGCGGTCTGCGATTGTCTAGCATGAACAGTTCGAATCCTTCGAAGGGATCAGTTATACCAAAATACGTCACATGCAGTACATTTTCTGCACTTTATACAAACATCTCAAATACACTTTGCTGTTGCCATCGCTTATCCCCAGACATGTCCAAAACAATTTTGAAACAGCAACAAGCAATATATCAATCTTTCTGTGTCTTCGACACCCCGCGCACCAACTTATACAGCCAAACTACTTTGCTGAGACCTGATTTTTGCAGATGGTTTGGAAAGAGTGAACTAAGGAAAGACTATATACGATGCAATGGATCAGTCAGTAACATGATGGAGAGATAACACATTTTATCCATATGACACTTGAAACAGGAATAAGACGATTCATACACGCAGCAGTTCCATTTTCATAAACTTTGTCCCATTCTTCAGAGATCAAATCTCAACTCACAAACCATATTTGCTTTTATTCCACATTTTCTGAGTAGTACCCAACAGTTATCATATAATGAAAAGGATAAACTGAAAGTCATAAATGCCACCAGACTGCTCACAGAACAGCACATCAGAAGTTCGATTAAATGAATCCGTTCGATGATGCGAAGCTGCAGAAAACTATGATTTTATGTCAGCGATATAATACATTAGTAAAAAACGATCTAGCAGAACTACTCATTTCACGACCAGTTCAGCTTCTTTGTTTGCTCATATTACAAATGCACTTTTGCAAATATGTGATGAAAATAGCTGAGATTTAAGGTGCAAGTTATTTAGCCGAAAACGGCTGAAACATATGGAAGATATCATTTTAAGAACTGCTATGTGACCTATAGCAGCTTCACCTTTCATTGAAAGAGCCAGCCATGAAATGCCCAAATCAACAGTTACACTGGACGACTCAATTCACAAACACAAATCCAATAGCTGGCAAGTCATACCCAGTATCTTCGAGCACACAATAACAAATAAGTGGCATCAATTTTTAATGAGCATAAATCCAACAGCTGGCAAGTCATACTCAGTATCTTCGAGCACACTTAATAACAAATAAGTGGCATCAATTTTTAATGAGTATTGATGTACAAAAAGTCCCATATTACTGAAGTTATCAAATTTTTGAAGCTGAAGAAATTGAAGACTAAGAAGTGAATCCAGCAATAAAAAATTTACCTCATCAAATAAAAAGTTTGCTAGTAAAATGCAAAGTAATAAAATGCAAACACTGTCAGCAATCAGTGCTATCAATTCCATGTAATACTAAATGAACCACTCTCGTACGAAGAACCGAAATCACCGGCGGTAAATGAAACAGTCCTGACATGCAATTTAAGCAGTCCTAAATATTACAAAATGGATATACTTAGATGACTAAAAAGCAATGTGCACTAGAACTTCACCTTTAAAGAAATGTGTTGTATACCTAATAACAACGAAGTAGTCGTCTCTATGATTCAAACTAAAAAAAATTCAAGCCATTTCAAAATGAAATAAATATCTACACATCCCTTAGAAATTACACGGCTACGTGGAAACCAAATATGAAACCATAATCATCTGTGCGATATCGGCTGAAGTGCGATTTCTAACAACCTAGTTTTCTGGTACCTTCTTCAACACTGCTAATTTCTTGTGGCAACTTCCAATACTCTCTAACCCGTCAAATTTGTTGCATATAGTGATATTATCAGATCATATTAATGGGTATATTAACAACCTTTTAACAATGACACTTTACCTGTAATACTCGATCGAAATGGATAAGCTCTATGTTACAAAATCAATGACTTGTCAATTATACATCATGTTATAATGATAAAATTGATAGTGTTAATTGCAACCAACAAAAAGAGTAATTCAAACGAAATATCGCGCATTCGTCCACATTAAACATGCCAGATATTTGCTCCAGTTTGTATGCATCCGGTTATCGTTTCACGTAGGCCTTATGTCGTATACACCAAAGGACGTTTCACCTGGACCAGACCAAACAATCACCACCACCCCCCGTTCCTCACCGCCAATGCTACCAACCGACGTACCAGGAAACCGTTCCAATGAGCAGCACGCACCATCCGTGGCTCCAATGAATCGATGGCTTTATTCTATAAGCTGTGCACGATATGGGACGATGCTGTGGTATCGCTGTGCGGCAAAATTGTCTCATCCCTATTGAAAGAAATGCAGAGGACTGTTCGGATGAATGTATGGATGTGCAAAATAGGTGGTAGCATTATCCCTACGAGAATGCAAGGATAGGGACAATCAGTATGTACCACATCAGCGAATTCATATAACTTAATGAGCTTTGGGTCGTGACACCTTCTTGAACATAGAATGTGTCCTGACAACCAATACGATAAAGCCGCGAAACTTTCCATCAAATACCTGTTTGCATTGGTAGTCTGTTGTCGAAAACGCAGGACGCATTTACTGAGAGTTCCAGTCAAGCAGAAGTCGGCTGACGTCGCACAAACTTTATCCCCAACACAGTCGGATCGGAAAAGAGCACTCACTGAGTTCTCTCTGATCCAGTACTTCCTGATTAAATTCTTTCTGATTACTCCAAAAATGTTCTCTCTGATGCAGTACTCTTTAATTGAATCTCCTCTGATCAATCCAAAAATGACCTCGTAGAAGAAAAGGGGAAAGAATTATTCACAGTATTAGATTGGTATCGGAATCATGCATGCAATGATAGAGGGATGAAATTGCTTTACGTAATTATAAATAAGGTGCTAAGAGAAATTGCTCGTCAACCTATGAAGTTATTAGAGTGTTAGTTGGAATTGCGCGTGTTGTTGGCGACTCAAACAAAGGTCACGCCTAGCAATCTTGAATTTCGTGCTGATGATTATTTTGTACACCTAATGCATCCATAAGAACCACGCTACGGTAAAAGTAGATAGGGTTTCGAAAGATATGAAAGAACTTGTGAAATGACAGAGAATATGCGACCTCGTTATTTGCTTACCTAACCTCGTTTATTTCTCATCTACTGAGGGATCTCGATAAATAATGAATGGTAATACTCCAGTTAGCTGATGCGTGAAAGGTCAGGTAGGAGTTCGAGTTGCTAAAGATGGATAAGCGTACTATCTGGGTACTATCGGGTTTGAATAAAGAAGTGGTTGGAGTGGCATTTAGATGGACGACTGGAACATCGATGGTCAGGAGGATGTGCTCGCAGGAGGGTCGGAAACCCTCGACGAAATGATGGACTCATTGGCAAGTGGATTAGATGCATTCTCCGCAACAAACTTTCTGGAAAGAGACATTGGTCGAGGGGTCCAGGTACCTGAGAGACTTGTCTTACATGCTTGTGATATGTGACATCTCTGTTGGCTTTTTTGTTCTAGTTCATTTTTCACAGTTTTAACCTTGTCGAGATATAATGAGTGGATGTATTTGAATATGTATCCTTAAAATTCCTGATTTTTAGTTCATGGAATTTCTAACAATCTTTTTCCTCCGGAACTTCTAAGTAACACTTGAATGTTGACCTCACTTTGGACAGTTTGATTTGCTGTAATGCCGCTGCTTGATCCATGCAACAGAGATCAAATTACTCTGTCAAGTTTTCAAGAAGTTAAAAATTTCAAATTGTCCAGATAGTTCCATGCACACTGGGCGGATTATTGGAGCAACGTGAGAAAGAGCAGAAAACGATCCAGAAAAAGATACTGAAAGTAACGCCGAGGGATGGAAGGGAGTTATCGAACACTGTGTCCTTGAAGAAAGTAACCTTCGATGTAAGTTCAAGAATTGATATTTGAAGGATACCTGAGGTAGTAGAGATAGCTAAAGATTAACATTTATGTAAGAGTTCTCTCAGAGTAGTTCCGATCTTTCAGTAAACCGGAGCTTCTTTTGAATGGAAAAGCTCCTGATGCCCACGATTGGGTCATTCAGTAATTTCAGTAACTCCACTGAGTAAAATCCAGTAATTAGATTGTCGTAGTTCTCACCACGTAGTTTTCTAAGTATTATTGAGTAAGAGTGTTTTCTCGGATTATCGAGCGTTTGAGAGGGCGTCCTGCTTTGCTTTACTAAGATTTTGGCATCCCTACACTTTAATAAACTTCTTGGGTGCAAGTTTGTGAAAGCTTTCGGTTTCTAATCGTGATAATTTCCAGGTAGAGAAATTTGCCGCTGATGAATGTGGTGATGCAGAGGAACGTGGTGAGGCTAGGGCTCGATTAGCCTTGAAACTCGGAGCACTACCGTCAAAAAATAATTATTTTAATTATAAGCAACTCAAAGAGGAACTAAATGTGAAAAAAAATTTAGAAATCGAATTTGATAGGCTATCAGCTTTGAAGTCTTTAAAGAAATTATCAATGAAAAAGAAAGTAAAAAAGAAGAGGCTATCTCGAAGATAGCGTTGTATTTTTTTTTCTTTTTTCTTTGCGTTTTCTTTCAAAATTTCGTGCATATTACATGAAGACATTTATTGAGGTGGTAAAACTTTTCTAATGAGTGGGAATCATAGGTAATCAACAGATATTTTTAAATGATTGCGTTTTGCTTGGGGAAATGAATCCTAAGTAATGTTTTAGACGTTAACTATCTGATTATGTCTTCGGGAATAGATATGTCAATCACTCTTATTATGAATCAAATTTCTATTAATGAATCTTAGTTGTCGATCGTCTTGTTTCTATTATAATGTACTTTTTTGTTGGATTTAATAAAGACTTTTCGAAACTATTAGTTTATCTGAGGCAGTCGGTTCCATCGCTGATGAATATTTATTGCATGCAATTGATGCCGCATTTCGAATTCTTTTGTATGCTTGCTACGAAATAGCCTTTTTTAAAGTGCTTGAAATAGCCTTTTTTAGGAGGACATGTGGAAGGAGGGTAGTAAATCGTCAGAAAGCAAAAGTAATGGCGACAAAACAAGCGATGTAAGTTATATTTTAATGTAATTTAGTTACAGTTTTCTTGCTTAGCTTTTACTTTGTGCATTGGCGATTCTTCCGTAATACAACTTAACCTATTAACAATTGGTGGATATTTAAAGCAAGTTCATCTCATTCAAAGACGCTATATTCCTTTAATGTCTGAATTGAGATTTAGCATATAGGGAATTAATATACCGAAACACGGAAACTAATTACTGAAAGTTCTAGTGTATGTTGCTTGATTATGTCCGAGGAAGGAGGAAGGTTCGAGGCCAACCGACGAATCAACCAGCGGATAAATTTAGTGAAGTAGTATAATAATTTACTCCATGAGCTAATGTTCGGGAATGTAGTGTAGTTTGTGTGTGGTTTCTCACTCGCAATATGCATTCATAGTGTTATCAGTGATGTAGTTTAAGTTAATTTTCATTTTCCAACATTGATAGCACGATTTATGTGCTTCGTGGTTAGTACCGTAACATATAAAGATTATTTCTCTGAAGGCTTTTCGCTTATTAGACTTAAGTTATTATTCGAATTACATAAACAACAAGTTTTATACGTTAAGTTGTTGGCAGAACTTGCAATTCTTCCAGTGCCTTCTCAAAAAAAAAAAACTTACATTACTGCAAACTTTAGGAACGCAAAAGTGGCGATGTTGTTGAAAGAAGTGATGAAGATTCGCGTTCAGGATCACCTTCGGAGGCATCTAGATCTCGTTCACGGTTCTTTAATCGTGTTTAATCTTTAATCATGTTTAATCATATTTTATAAACGGTCATATAAGATGTCCGAAATAGAATAGATTTGCTTTTCCCAAATCTCAGTTTACCTTTCATTTTTATGTTAGTTTGTTTATTTTATAGTGATCGCAGGCATTCGAGTTCATGCTCTCGTAGTCGTTCGAAAAGTCGTTTAAGGTAATCGTGCACAGTTAATAATTTTTGATTATTGGAAGTAACAGTATGTATTTGACACGAGAAAAATTCATATGATTAGGAGAATCCTAATCACGTGGACTTTGAAATGATTTTATTGAAGTGGAAAAAATATGAAGTTAGGTTAGGTAGCTGATTTTTGATGTAAAAAGCAACTTCTATAATTTTTCACGTCAAATGTATTTAGGTCAAGTCGTCGTTCACGGTCTCCACGATATCGCCGCAGTAGTTATGATGATCGTAGATACACATTTTCTCGACGCGATGAACCAGAACCATCTCGATGTCTCGGCGTTTTTGGCTTGTCTCTTTATACAACCGAACGTGACCTCAAAGTATGTATCTTTTGAAAATTTGTTGTTCTTTATAAGAAGACAACGAATGGAAAATTATTTTCGTCGTAATCTGGAAAGAAACCAGCTGTATTCTCATCATCTCGAAAGGAAATGCACAAACAATGTTATATTTTTGGTCGCTGTTTAATGTAGAATGCGTTTAATGTTAATTTGCATTTCAGTTTTCAGGTGCATTGCATTTATATATTTATTAGCGATGATAATACACTTACTAGAGTTAAGACTAAAAGAGGGAAATCTAAATAAATTAAGCTGAATGAAATTTAAATAAGTGAAGTTGGAAAGAAGGAAATTTGCAATCTTTACATACCACATTATCGACTAGCTGATATGGAGAGGCGTTCGACTTTCCGAAATTTTTTTCTGTTTAGAAATAGAAAAAAAGATTTTAAAGGAATTATTCTCGCAGTATGGAGATTTGGATAATGTTCAATTGGTATTTGATCATCCAACTGGACGTTCGCGCGGTTTTGGCTTTGTTTATTTCAAAAAAATCGAAGATGCCATAGAAGCAAAAGAGCGAGTAGCCGGTACAGAAATCGACGGCCATAAAATTCGAATCGATTATTCGATAACGAAACGACCCCATACACCAACACCCGGTATTTATATGGGAGCTGTAGATTCGCGTCGACGTGGACCACCACGATCATATCGTCGGAGTCCGTCGCCATATCGCAGTTACAGACGATATCGAGATAGTCCACCAAACAGATATTACACCAGGTTTGTTGATAGATTCCAAATAATTAAGGTATGAGGAACATCAGGTATTTGTGATTTCCTGGTTAGAGATGGAGTGAATGTGGCTGATGTGGAGAAACTTATCAGTTTCCTTAACCATTTTCATGTTTTTCCTTTTTTTTTTTTTTGCAGAGGATATGATTACGACGATTATGATCGTTATTCGCCACCGTATCGCGATCGCTATAGACGTAGTCCGTCCCCTCGTTATTATGATGACCGCCATCGGAGGCGTTCTCGATCTTACGACCGTGACAGGGACTATTATTGATTATTATTTGCACAGAGTCTTCTCCAATGAAAGCAAATATTTTTTTTTTTTTTAAACTAAATTAGCAGTTGTTTTTTTCCTTTTGATTTATCTTTATTGTTTGGTTTGTGCGATCTAATTGTTTCCCCTACTGATCATCGTATTATCGAATCATCTGATTGTAAAGGATAATGTTACTTTTTCCAAAAAAAATTCTTTGTTGCAGTTCGCTGCAAGCCAGAGTGAAATGATGATAAATGAAGAAAGTGAAATGAAGAACTTTGAAGAACACAAATAATTCTGATGATGAAGAAAGAATGAAGATGAGGAAAAACAGAAGAGCCCTGGGATTATTTTTCGTTTGAAGAGAGAAAATTTTATATGAAGAGAGAAAAAAAGGTGAGCGTTATTGCTTGCTTAAATTCAAATTTCAGCTTCCACCATAGCAAAAGTTCTTTCTTTTGAAAAATGGACGTTGAAATAAACATGTTCAGGTAATCCTTGTATTCAGTGTTCCTAGGTGTTATTACGCATCACACGTGGTTCAGTTCTTGAATACGAATCGGCGTGTTTATGGATTATTTGTATCGAATGACATTAAAAAAAATGTGTTGTGTGTCTTCATAGTACATTAAACAGTATGCCAATCTTCCACCCACTGCAGCTTACTCTGAAATGTATCCGCATTCAGGAACGCTCTATTCTTAATCAAAAGGTAATCGATGCAGTATTGTCAACAAACAATTAATGAGAAAAATAGGTCGAAACAACCGCACACTAAATTCTTAAAAAGTCGAAATGGAACAAGTGTTACTTAGAGAAAATTGTGCCGAAACATATACATAATCTAAAGAAAAAGTATTGAACTCCGCGTTTGTGCCTAATCCAGTACACGAAACTGATAGTTTTGAACTAGTAGTTCAATAGTGAAATAAGCCTTTTAATGTGTCTACATGGCTCTTTGCCGTTTAGTACAACTACAAACCGCTTCCACGGTAAATTAGAAGCCGCAGGAATGAGGGTTAGGCGTGTTCAGAGGATGAAGGGATGGACATTAACGCTTTGTCTATCCAATTTAAATAGCCAGTCGTGAGCTTCTTTAAAGATAGTATAACAGATCCATAACAAGGAATGGCCAGATCTTGCTGGAACGTGTAAGCACATTAATACAGCAGAAAAATATTTATCCATGTCACATCTTCAGTTACTATTACAACAACGTTTTCATAACAAGAATGATATTATGTCCGACTGTGATTTCATATCCTACAACAGAAATCAATGTTTTCGAAGACGAGGCTTTTTCTCTACCACTTCTATTGAATCTATTTTTGGCTCAGGTGAAGTATTTGGCCTTTCCACCTTCATGAGACGAAGTCTGAAACAAGTGATCACAAATCCGATCAAAATTATACTTCAAATCTAAATACTTCACAAAAAAAAAAAATACAGGTTGACAAAATACAAGCATGAGCTACATAGCTGAAATAACCATGTAAGCCAAGAATTAATTGAACTACAAAAAAACCTTCCGACATATAAAAAACGGATTTGAGCACTCTAACCGATATTGTTCCTCACGTTGTCGTATACGGTCCCGACGTTTGATCAACTTTTCTTGTTTTTCATACTTCTCATGTCGTTTCAGATATGTTTCATCAGTACAGACCTATAAAAAACAAATACAAATGGGCAACGAGTCGATCTTAAAAACCATCAAAAATCTTGAAGTCCCACTACTTCCATTCAATGAGTAACGTAACCATCGCTTCCATTTCGATCATGCCGAATACCTATTCCTTATCTATTAGAACACTGTCGAGTCATTCTGTCTGATCTATTTGATCAGAAGTCTGCTAGTGATTTTGAGTGTTTCCTTGGTAAAATGAAACTAACACTCACTATATCTAATATAATCTGTACGATTTAATCGAAACGATCTTTACTCACAACTTATTATCCAAAGTTCTTACTCACTTGAATATTTGATATCTCAGATAAAAGACAAACTTCTGCGTTATGACGTCGAGTAGCTCTGAGTGGTTCGAGATCGGGCACCTTTCGAAATCCTGGACACTCCACATGAGGATTTTCGCCGGGTTGTGGAGGCTTTCTCACCAATTCATCGTATCCTTTTTCCTTCAAACATTTTGAGGTGAGAGAACGTCGACCGTTCATCTGGTTTATCTGGGTCTTTATTAACAAGAATGAATGACTTATACTGGACCAGAATGTCTCCGATTATTGGATCCAGCAGAATGAATATTGGTCGATCATACTTATGCTAATTTTATTCAACATTCCCATAATAACGAGAAAACAACCCTTCTTTTGCTCATACTTGCATCTCTTCACTTAGAAATGGGGTGGGAAATATGACCGACTAACTATTCATTAAGAAGATGATAGTCAACATATCCATAAACTAACAGATCAAATGTAATTTGGCCGATATAATTTGAGCTTCAATAACTTCTTTGATGACAGTTTTCACTGTGTATGAGATGACAATATTACAAAGAAGTCGAAGTACAGCTGACCTGTTGAAGAACGACTCGGTATGCACTATTATCCGCCAGTAAAGGTATACGTGTTAATGTTCTGCGAGCAATATATGCATGAGCATGGTCGAATTCACCACACTCATCATTCTACAGACGGAGTGATCAGCAAAGAGAAAACAATACTTATGCACTGTAGCTTTTACATTAGCACATAATCTTCTGGAAAGCTAAGTGCAAAACTCTGCTACGGTAAATTTTTGAAAATTTAAAAGTTTAAATTTCTAAAATAGTAAGTGAATGCATGATATGCTGCTATCCTCCTAATTTACGGCCTATTCTTAGCAAGCAGTTTTCTTTCAGTCCACTCTAAAAGAGTGCAAACAAACTGTTCACACGTCTGCAGATTTGCTACATGCATCTGCGACATATTAACATATCCTTTGGGAGATAAACTTACAATGCGTATCGCAGCAGCTCGAGTGGTGGTACGATCAGCATTGTTATGCAGTGTATTTAATGATATGGCAATCCGCAGCGGTTTCCCCATAGTTCTCACGATATGATAGCATATTCACGTTACATTTCTAATCTAGGAGGCTCTCCAGATCATTCCTAAATATCAATATGTGGAATATAGGAAAGAATATAATATAGCAAAATACGAATCATTAATGTCCTGCTGTATTTACTTTCCTCTTTTCATCTCACTGCTACTATTTAAAAGTGATGCGTAGAGCTTCATTTATTTTTCAACAACCATTGCAGTTGTCGATGAACTAGCTTAAGATGTGACGACATATTATGGGACGTCTGAAACTGAATCAGCGATTTTCGTTATGACTCTAAAAATTTCGCTAATGTTAATTGAGTAGTGAAGACCGTTCGGCTTCTATTAAAATTTGAAGTTTCCTGTCTTTGCATTCTAATCTAAAGGCGACTAGCCTATACAATAAAAAAGTAAAGAATAAAGATGAGACAGCGGCAAGATGCACAGAATTATTTCAAATTCTTTTCATCTTACATCTGAAATTCCTGAGCCATATGGGACTGATTTGCAACAAAGCCTGAGAATACTTCATTAGGCCAAGAACATGTCGGAAAAATTATGGATCACGTATGTCATCAGTTCAGTTTACAACAGAATGAAACTAACAGGAACCAGCTCACTGTCTAAATAACGAAGCCACAGCAATATATGAGACTAACCTTCATTAATATAAAGTAATAATTTACCGAGCATCGTACACGAACTTTCCGCGATTACAGACTGACAAAATTCGTCCCTGGAAGTTGCATGCGAGTGCAATTAATAGAATGGGAAATGACGAAAAGGCTGGAGTGAATGATGATAAATAAAATAAAGAGATAGATGTAACTTCGAAGTTGAACAAAATCGATCATTGTACGGAAATGAATTTATTACATCGTATGATTCGATTAAGTACAGTGCTGCTGCACAAAATTTCCTCGAACTTGGAATGAAATATTTCGAAGAGTGTCGGGCCAAAGCATTTTGCTAGCTGTAGGAATGATCCGTCTAAAAATACTTCAGAACCAATCATTTAATGCTGTTTAAAGAGGTTTAATATCACAAAACTACAATAATGAATCTTGCATACATGAACGAAGCACACATATGAAATTGAAATTTACTGAGATAACAAAGAGGCATTAAGGTTGTTATTTCCAACGATTTCAAGTGACATCAAATTTATGTTTTCAAGAATCGATAACACTGTCGAGTACGTCTACACCTGTTTGATCACTTGTCATTTTTAGATTCTTTCGTCCAATCAAATGGTTCCCATAAACGTTTAAGTTCAGCGGTATTCGCTAGCTGTTCTTTCACAGTTAGACATTCATTCATCCTCCACTGCCTCCTTTCCAGATCCATCATACCACCGATTATTTCCTGCAAACAGAAGCTTATATTTCTTGGAAGTTGTGAAATATCCTCAACAACTATGTGCTACTAAATTAAAAAAGGGAGAGAAGAGAGGAAATTTAAGGATTTATGCTGTTTATCAAATTTACATACACTTCAACTTTCTGCAAAATATATTTCTAAATCTTAGATCAATGAATAACACGTTTTCTTTAACATGAATTTTAGTTGAGTTTAGTTACGAATTTGAACACATGATTTTTTTTCGAATACAAACAGCGGACCATATTTCAAGAATTCCCAGGTCGAAAAGTTCTTAATCTTCTAGAATGTATTTAGATATGGATCTAGTCCTTTTCTTTCTCCTCACTAAATTTGTAATCCAAAAGCACACATGGGCAAAATTCTGCGGAAATTGATCTTCGTTTTCAATAACATGCGCATAACCCGATTGCAAACCAAAATCGACAGCAAAATACGAGAACCCTTTGGGAATAACTTTTCGAATGTTTCCACCTCGTTTACTGAGATCCACCAATTTTTTGTTATCAACCCATTCACCTTCACTATCGTCGATCGCTTTCTGAATTAATTTTAAAATTCAACAAAGACAGATTTTTAAAAGTGCGGCCATGTATATCTATCTTATCGACATACGCCATCTTGGAAGATTGTTCTAAATGCCTATACATATCTAATTTAACTTTTCCTTGAAAAAAGAATCGAATAGGGGAACCATACTTGAGAAAACGATCATAACAGATTACTATAAATTATGTATTTGAATTATTAGTGTAGCAGTGTAAAGCAAAAATCTTCTCCTAGCAAAGAATATCTCTACCGTCATCTGACTTTTATCATTTGCATGTTAACCATATATTAAGTAAAATAAATATCCAATGATGTCTACTATCAAAAGATTAATGAAATCTCACGAACATTTGAAATTTTGATCAGACAAAAAAAAAAACCTTAAAATAAATAGGTGCCATTTCACCAATTTTACTCGGTACTGCAATACATTCAATATACATATGCTTGCGGTGTTTTACATTTTTAGCTGTTTCTACAAACAAACAATCCATTTTTTCGTTGTGCCACATTGAAACTAAAGCCTATAAAGCAGTTTACCATTCTTTATGGATGGAAGAAAAATATAGTAATGGATGCTTCACATCCCGATATGGCTATTAATCTGTTAGCCCCCGATAGTTTGACCATATAAGACTTGATAAGCAATCCGACGATTAGGATTTTAAGGCTCTTTTTGACAACGAATAATTACGGTCCTATTTGGCATGAAATCGATCTACGACGAAACTGATTGAAAATTGGACATTCTTTGAGGTATGTTTACACTTACAGGCACTTAATGGTTTTAAAGTAATAATACCAGAGTCACTACTATAGCTATCACCATTTAATTTCCTATCTAAACTCTTTAGACTGTTATATTATTACCATTTTTCTCTGTTATTACATTCTTGTCATTCTGAAAAAGCATTTCCAATATCTAAAGTTGTCTGTGAAAATCAAAACCATCCTCAAAGATGACCATTTAAGATACACGGGGATACATTTAAAAATTCCTTGTAATTTAAATATATTGTAGTAAAAGTATGCCTAGAAGATAATTTTCCTTAAGAGAAAATAATTTTCATGACTTTTTTCGTTTTTCAAAATTTCAAACAAACTTTCCATCCGTTCCCTGCATGATTCATATGCAAAATATAAGTAGACAACTACTTTAATGAAATCTAGAGGAAAAACATTCGCTGCAAACGTCAATGTACGCTAATTACCATTGGGTTGTACCCAAATGGCTTTAGTGTCAAGCAGTAGCTTTAGTATCACTGTTACAGTGACCAATCTTCTATTCCTCTCTGATTAGCGTATTTTATCCAAGTGCAAACAACGCTAATACGAACAACTATGAAATGGAAAAATATAAAGCGAAAATAAAAAGTGGGGCATACTCTTTTAAATCTCTGTATTTCTTCATAAACATTTTCATCAAGTGTTACAGTTGACGAATAGTGAGTAATAGGAACGACCAAACAGTGTTCTTTTATCAAAGGGCGCCATGGAACAGATGACAAATAGGCCTAAACAGTGTTAACAAAAACCTATGCCATTTAAACTTTTTTATTAATTAAAAATTTTCCAAACTCAACGATTCAGGAATAAGATAACAAAAATAAATGTCAGAATCAACTGAAATCTCGAAAAGGATTTATGAAAATTGAATCACTTTTTATAAAATCTTTGTCGGTTTAGTTTTCAAATACAACTCCTATGAAGTTCAGTTTCGGAACTTTCAATTTATTTAATAGCATTACTTACTTCGTCAAATTAGTGAAATACTTTTGGTTACGGGCATTTAAGTATAGTTGTGATTACTTTTTGCTATTTTTACGTATTGTGGAATAAAGTATTAAGCAAAAAGAACATACGCTATTTCCACAAGCCACCATACAGTGTTTTCGGAAGCATACCGCCTCGACACAAAATCGACAAGAATCGAGTGTTTGTTCATAAATTTTGTTCTCTAAAATTAACTTGATCAGTTTTGAAACAATAGTAAGCGATCAGCAGTGATGGCACTGCTTAGTGCTTAAATAAAAAAAATTCTGCATAACTTTGCTAGAAGCTTTCTTGTGAATAAAACGTCTTAATAATGATTAGTAAGAAAATTCATAGTACAGAAATTCTCCATTGGAAACTCACGGCTCTAACCTGAAATTGAAAAAGTAATCTTCAGCTATCTTAAATTCCCAAATCCTACAACAACACTTCAACCTTGAACTTTAAATTATTGCTCATATCCAGAAACAAGAATGTCTCATCAAACCTCATCAAACCGCATCAATTAGCAGGAGTAAAGGTGTTTAGCTCTTCTAAAAAAGATGAAAAAATATCCAATGAATAAAACTTCAACCTCCCATCCAAAGCCTCTATACTTGGTGACTTGTCAGATGACCTTTGTGATTATTTTCACCACTTGTGAAAGTGATTCAATGATCAAAAAAACCTCACTCCCAAACTTGTTCCCAACTTAGGGAACGGAAAACATCTCGAAGAAAATTGGGTGAATAATATTACTGGAAGAGAAAGAGAAAATTCTGATTTGTCTGCAAGACCTATACGTTTTGAAGTTGGATGAAACAGTGCACTGAGATATGATAAGAGAACAAAAGTTGCAACTTTTGAACATGCAACACATGTAAATGGTGCACAGAGAAGTAATTTATAATATCCAGGGAAATCATGATAAAGTGTAATGGGATGAAATTCTTGTACTCCATCTCACTCTTTACTTTAATAGCGAACTTTATGGCTTTTGTCCTTTTATCAGTTTAATGATCCATTTCTTCTGAGAGGATTCTGTAGGATGAATGCAGTAGCGCCATCTCGTCTCATTGTACACTCGCTCCTATCACTGTAGTTATCGATTCAATAATTAGTTATCGTTAGTTATCGATTTTTTTATAGTTAGTTATCGATTCAATAATTTCAAAATTCATACAATCAAAGATTAGAAAAAGACATAATTTTTCTCAGGTGGAACAATTTTCTCGCTGCATAAAACTTCTTTTCCAACGTCTTTTCGAGACACTGAGAGCAGATGAGTGCCATATACAGCACATATATGAGCATATACGTAAACTTACCGAAAATTTTGAAGGGATGGAATTGTAGAGAAGAGAAGTAGGAATGGATGGAGAAGAAATGAGAATGTTGAAAAATGAAAAGAATGGAGAAAAATGAACATAGTTCATGATGAGAGGTAGTTGTACGAAAAAGCGACTTGAAGGAAAAGAAAAGAAAACGACGACCACGGTCACCATCATCAACTTTGTTATCTTCATCACCGTCAAAGCTGGCATCATCAGCAGCAATAGCGAAAACAACGTTTGTTAAGGAGTGGAATTTATGGTAATAGCAGTAGGTCCCATCAGTTCCTGAAGACAATCTTGACATCCAACTTCCACAAAGCAAAAAAGTATGTTGTGGCGGCATTGCACAACGACTGGTGGACATCAGATACAGTTCTATCAGAACTTGATCATATTTCTGGTTGCTAATATCCCGATATTTACTTGGGCTACCACCGAATGGTTTGGAGATTCAAGAGCATACATGAATCCTACTCGATCAGCACCATTTCATGATGTTATTTACGATATTTCTGGTTAGTCACCTATTTCCTCCGGTAATCAAGAACTATTCCGATATGGGATAATTTTATGAGAATTAACTGGAACAGTTTCATTATTTACTGGCAACAAAGCCTCACACGAACTCTTGTCCAATAAAAATGCAACACTGAAACGTTTTAAAAACATCCCAAACATGTAGTTAATTATTTGCTGTATCCAATGCTCATCCGCAATACAATATTTAATTTCCTTTAATTTACAAGAATATAGTTGATTTTGGCTACTTTCCATTCTACATATCTAAAATTCAGTAGCAAAAAACGTCTCGGTTTGCAGAATGTCCAGAAGGTTTGGAAAGTGAAGCAATACCGGAATACGCATATTTCGGGCCAATGATTGCATCTATGGGTGTCTTGAAGCATGTCGAATGCTTGGACAACTGCATCAAACATTCAAAATGTGTTGCGATCAATTTTTTTGCATCTATGGCATTCCAGGCAAGCTCCAGTAGTGAATTATTCCAGTTTATAGAAAATTAAAACTCAAAAAAACCCACGTGACTTGTCTCCATAAATTGGACAAATTTTTGTCCTAACTTCCTCTTTTCCTCACAACTGCTATGTTTACAGGAGAGTGTTGTCTCTTCTATAACCATATTTCAAATTAAAGTGT